TTTCTGTAAATCTAAAAATTTTCTAAAATAAAAATTATATCTAAAAAAGTACTTTAACTCCTTGAGTAGTATCACTGCAGAAAGTACTTTTATTTCTACAAGTTTGACCATATGTTGCGTACATTGGATTCATTTTTATGGTCCAAAAAATGTAGATCATATGCATACAAGAAAGCACGTCTCAAAAAGGAGGACTTGAACATGGAACATGATGGAGAGATGGTACTTGACTTTCAAAGCAGATGAGCTGTGCTTACTCCTGAAGGCACATAACTTTTCCTACCTGCTTAGTCTTCACTCTGTCTTGGAACCCACAGAGGTCTGAGTGAGGAGAGATTGGAGACTGTCTTAGTGGGTCTTCGGCTACCAGTTTGGGGGATTATATGTGCAATGATTTTATGAGAGAAGATGAGGAAGGAGATGGAAATGCTGGCCAAACTATTAGACTTCAAACTCCTTCAAAGTGAAGGAGAGAGGAAGAGAGATTTGATAGAGATGTTGTAGAATGTGATGCTCTCCAAGAAAGATTCAGAGGTTGTCATGGTATAGGGAACCTACCCGTGTAGTATGGAGAATGTAGTCCATCCCTGATTTGGAAAACTGATGGGGAGCGAGTCGGTACACAGGAGCCCTGTCTCTCACTCAGAGAGTGGCCATGCTGTCCTTTTCCCCCACAGGATTTCTGTAGTCCATGTGAATTTGTTCATTGCAGCCACAACTCACGGACCCCTTGGGCCGGAGTCTGCATCATCATGGATTTCAGGAGACAACGTGGGCCATCAGAGGGGTCCCTTACTAGCATGGATGGCCCCTTTGTGATGGATTTCAGAGTGCAGTGATCAGCTTTGGTTGTTGCATAATTATGCTTCCTGCAGCTAGAGGCCTGCGTGGACCAGTATCATGACCACCACAGGCATCTACCATTCTGCATTTGGGCTTTGGAATCACATTATATTGATTGATAGTTTGTCATTAGTAACTCATAATTAAGTTCAACTAACTGATTTATATATTGGCACAATTTTAAGCAAAAACTATAGTGGGAGCTCAAACACAAAATTACTTTCAGAAACAAGAACTTCAGGGCATGGGACAAGCGTCATCCCTCATTTTTTACAGAGATCTTCAGTTATTTTCAATATATGTTGTGCCTAGGTGATCAGCAACACAGATTTCGCTAGCACTTTGCTGCCACTGTTTCCCTTGGAAGAACAAATGTTTGCTATTGTGTGCTTACATCCATTCAGTGCAGAAGATACATTCTTTACCATACATTTTTTGCATTGGTTGCACAGATTGGATCCAATTCCATGGACCAAGTTACTAGCTGAGGTGGATATAGTTGACAGTTTGGCTGTTAAACATAGAAAGACAACACAAATGTGTCAAGGCATGAAACTTTGAATAAAATTGTATTTCATCTTTTTTTTAAAGATTTTATTTATTTATTTTTAGAGGGAAAGGGAAGGAAAGAGGGAGAGAAACATCAATGTGTGGTTGCCTCTCCCGCTCCCCCTGCTGGGGACCCAGCCTGCAACCCAGGCATCGGCCCTAGACTGGGAATCAAACCATGACCCTCTGATTCACAGGCCCACACTCAATCCACTGAGTTACACCAGCCAGGGCCGTATTTCATCTTAATATGAAATGCCATGCATCAAAATTGAAACAATAAAGTCTACATGCAGTTTTAAAAACTAACATTCACAGCCCAAACACCTATAAAAATAAACCATATCCCACTTAAAAATAAATATTATTAATGTTTTTACAAACCTGCTATCATTTTTGGGAGGGTCATGGAACTGGCTGGATGTGCTTTGCTAATGTAGGGACCACAGTCCTCACTTGCCTTGACATCCTTCTCCTTCCAAACTCAAAAAGAAATCACGAAACCCAATTTTCCTAGTTATCATTCCCCTGTCTTTATTGATTAGTGTACTTACTATATAAATATGTGTGTGTATATTTGTGCATGTGTGTGTAAACAGATACAAACACAACTCATTAAGTGTTGACAGTATTGATGATTTTCATAAATAAACATTTCTGTGTATATGCTTGCATAACTACCTTTAAAAATGCTTTGTGACTAGGTTCAGTCAGATATTTAGAGCTTTTTAATTTTTTCACTTCCGTGTCATATTACCCTATGCAGGTATATAGAAATTATTATTTTATTGACACTTAAATGTGTATTTAGATTGGTTTATTTTTACTCTTTTTGTGCTCATAATGAACACCATAACACTCTTTGAGCCTTTTCAAATGTTTGTATAAACAACATTTATGTCTATTTATTAATTTTTTTTGTAATGGGATATGCCCATTTTATGTTGTCTAGATAATGACAAACTGTTTTATAAGGCTGCTTAGCCCCTAATTCTTGACTTTAGTGTAAAAATAACACTTTTTTTTTACTTTTTGAAAGATCTCTCTATTCTACATTTTGTTTGATGAATTTTGCTGTTTAAATTTACATATAAAAAAGTTGATTGTTTATCTTTTTACACTTCCATCAATATTAGCTTACTGGAACCATGAAGTGTTAGTATGATAGTTCAGGTGCAAAAGAATTTTCTGCAACCAATACATAAGTAAAAAAGTTAATAAAGAAGAAAGAGGAGGAGGAGAAAGTCAAAGTAGGGGAAGGAGAGGAAGGAAAAAAGGGGAAGGGGGAGAGAGGGAAAGGAAGAGGATGATGAGGAAAGGAGAGAAGAATAGAAGGAGAAACAGGAAGAGGAAGTGGGGCAGGGTTAGGGAGAGGAGAAGAATCAAACAGAACCCGTGTCTCTAAACAGCTGAATCATATGTAGATTGCTTCCTCAAGACCCCTGCAAGTGATGAGGCAAGACTTTCATGCCATTAGCAAAAGAAAAATTTTATGAAATAATATCAAATTTGAAAATATTTTAAAATTCCCAATTCTCCCTCTGTGAGAAATAATGTCATGTATTATTTTTAATAATCCCTAACATCCTTCTTTGAAGATATCGGTGTTTCTGTCCTTATTTTTTGTAGATGAGACATTCTAGACAGAGAAGACAATGCTTTACAGCATGTCACTTCAATATGAAGACATCAACTATTTCTTAATTAATCAGTACTTTAAAAATAATATTTTATTTACTTATTTTCAGAGAGGAGAAGGAAGGAGTAGAGAGAGGGACAGAAACATTGATGTGTGAGAGAAACTAGGGACCATGCACCTCAACTGGGGGCTGGGCTGGCAGCCCAGGCATGCGCCTTGACTGGAAACCAAAACGGTGACCCTTCTCTCTGCAGGACAATGCTCAACCGAGTTGCACCAGCCAGGGGTTCATCAGTACTTTGATTTGAATGTGTGTGTGTGTGTGTGTGTGTGTGTGTGTGTGTGTGTTTATCCAATACCTCACAGGTGCCTTACTCTGAAATTCATGGTCCACCTTGGGCTCTGAGAAGGTTAATGTAGCCAAAGGTGTCCATGTGCTCTCTCCTTAAACAAAGGCTTGTCTTTGGGGATGTAGAGTGAGTGATCAAAAAATCAGAATGTGAGCCCTGGCTGGCGTAGCTCAGTGGATTGAGCCTGGGCTGCGAACCAAAGTGTCACAGGTTTGATTCCCAGTCAGGGTACATGCCTGGGTTGCAGGCCATGACCCCCAGCAACCGCACATTGATGTTTCTGTCTCTCTTTCTCCCTCCCTTCCCTCTCTAAAAAATAAATAAATAAAGTCTTAAAAAAAATAAGAATGTGTATCAAGCAATACCAGACCTCAAAGAAATCATTCCTCCCCACAGTTTGTGTTTAACAACCATGGAATCTACCTCCAAAGAGCGGGGAAAAGAATTTAGGTAATGTTCGTTGGCCGTACATGAACAAAGAGCAAAAGTTCTGCTCATTCTCACCCACTGCCCTGTCTCCCCTTGTTCTAAAGGGGAAATGACCAAAAGCAACCCACTAATGCAACTCTATGTTTTAATTCATTCATTTTTAAAATTAAATCTATTGGGGTGAAATTGGTTAATAAAATTATATGGGTTTAGAATATACAATTCTATGATACATCATCTGTATATTGCATTGTGTGCCCTGCACCCAAAGTCAAATCTCCGATCACCAGATTTTTGACCCTCTTTTCCCCCTTACTACCCCAAAGCCCCCTTCCCTCTGGTAATCGCCACACTGTTTATCTGTGTCTCTGAGTTTTTGTCAGTTTCTTTGCCTCATTTGTTCATTTGTTGCTTTCAGTTTTACACCCCACATCTGAGTGAAATCATAGTGTTCTTGACTTTTTCAGTCTGACTTAAAGGGCCTTTGTAATATGCCCTGTTCGCTTTAACAGTTCAAGGCTTACAAACCTGGCAGCATAAAGCTCCTTTGTTCCTAGATGACAGCAGCCATCTCCTGCATGTTCTGAGATGTGAAATGTTTCATCTCAGACTGGAAAAGGCACTCACCGGAATAAAGAGGAAATGCCAAGGCAATGAGGAACATAGCTTTGATCCATGATGACAAGAAAGACATTTTACCAAGTCTGTGGAAGGGACTTTTCACATGTTTACACCACATGGCACAGGGACACATTTCCCATCTCCTAAGGAAAGTTTCTAATTGGTGAAGAAACCCCTCTGCCCCTTTGAGTCTTAACGAAGGTGGACTGTACTCTCTTTGCTTCCCACAACTCTCAGATTCAGTCGGACAGATACATGAATAGCAGGCCTCCTAGAGATGTGAGCAAAATCTCAGGACAAGTCCTCTCAGCACACTGAAGAAGGAGCTGTTCATTCCCACCCCTTTGGCTCAGCCCACAGAGGCCTGAGTCCATGTGAGGAAATGTGCATGTGGGATTCTCCATTCTTTCTCGGAGGATAGAAGCATTTCAGGAAGGGCTGAGCTGGAGCAGTCCTCACAGCAGCGCTGCACCCCCAGGCCACCCCACAGCCTCCCCACCTGCCCTACCTGAACCAGACAGGGCAGTGGAGACAGTGGCCCACAGCTCGGGAGACTGTGCCTGTTGTGTTCACCTTTCCTCCTTGGCCGCTGCCTCCTGCTGAGGAGTCTCCTTTATCTGCCCGCTGGCGAGCAGCTTAATGGGGCAAAACAGATGGCTTAAAGCAGATCAGACCCTGAGGTATTTTGTGTTCTGCACCAGGAACTATCTCAATAGGTCTTCCCTCAGCAGGGGGTTTGGGCCACTTTCATCTGATGAACACAAAGTATGAGGATGGGAAATAGTATTAAGAATAATTATAAGCTCTTCCACCCAAGATGGAGGCATAGGTAGACACACTGTGCCTCCTTGCACAACCAAGATAGGGACAATAGTTTAGAAACAGAATAACAACCAGAAAATTGAACTGTATGGAAGTTGGACAACCAAGGACTTAAAGCAGACATGTTCATCCAGACCAGTAGAAGGGGCAGAGTTGGGCAGCCAGGTGGAGAGAGGTCCAGGCACAAAGAGTGGTGGGACTGGGTGTGTAAGGCATCCTGGGAGCAAGACCACAGCAGGTGGATCCTGAGTGTGCAGGCTGTGGCTGGCAGACTCCAGGTGTGGGGTGGCAACTGGCAGACCCAGCGAGGCAGCGATTGTGAGGCAAGGCACTGCGCGCAACCCAGGGTCTCAGCCCTGGGAAATAGAGCCTTGGGGCACTGATTGAAAACACCTGTGCAGCTGGAGCCACAGGGAGAAACTCCCAGCCTCACAGGAGAGGTCCTTGGAGAGACCCACAGGGTCCTAGAATGCACACAAGCCCACCCACATGGGAATTAGCACCAGAAAGGCCCAGTTTGCTTGGGGGAAGCAGCAGAAGGGACTGAAGTCCAACGGAGAGTGGAGCAAGCACCATTGTTCCCTCTCAGACCCCGCCCCCCATACAGCTTCACAATCCAGCAACTGGGTTGCCCCACCCTGGTGAACACCTAAGGCTCTGCCCCTCATATGTAACAGGTGTGACAAGACAAAAAAAATGGCTAAAACAGAAGAACAGATCAAAGCCCCACAGCAAATACAACTAAGCGACTAAGAGATAGCCACCCTATCAGATGCACAGTTCAAAACACTGGTGATCAGGACGCTCACAGAATTGGTGGAATTTGGTCACAAATTAGATGAAAAAAATGAAGGCTACACTAAGTGAAATGAAGGAAAATGCACAGGGAACCAATAATGATGGGAATAAAACTGGGATTCAAATCAATGGAATGGACCAGAAGTAAGAAAGAAACAATCAAACAGAAAAGAATGAAGAAATAAGAATTCTGAAAAATGAGGAGAGGCTTAGGGAACCTCCAGGACATCTTGAAATGTTCCATCATCCGAATTATAGGGATATCAGGAGGGGAAGAGCAACAAGTGGAGAACTTATTTGAACAAATAATAAAGGAGAACTTCCCCATTCTGGCAAAGGAAATAGACTTCCAGGAAGTCTAGGAAGCTCAGAGAGTCCCAAAGAAGTTGGACCCAAGGAGGAATACACCAAGGCACTTCATAATTACATTACCCAAGGTAAAAATGAAGGAGAGAATCCTAGAAGCAGCAAGAGATAAGGAGACAGTCACCTACAAAGGAGTTCCCATCAGACTGTCAGCTGATTTCTCAAAAGACACCTTGCAGGCAAGAAGGGGCTGGCAAGAAGTATTCCAAGTCATGAAAGGCAAGGACCGACATCCAAGATTACTCTATCCAGCAAAGATTCCATTTAGAATGGAAGGGCATATGAAGTGTTTCTCAGATAAGGTCAAGTTAAAGGAGTTCATCACCAAGCCCTTATTATATGAAATGTTAAAGGGATTTATCTAAGAAAAATAAGATAAAAAATATGTATAGTAAAATGACAGCAAACTCACAATTATTAACAACCACACCTAAAATAAAAACAAAAATAAATAAAGCAAACAACTAGAACTGGAATAGAACCCCAGAAATGGAGATCACATGGAGGGTTAGCAACAGGGGAGCGGGAGGAGAAGAGAGGGGGAAAAAGTACAGAGAATGAGTAGCCTAGATGGTAGGTAGAAAATAGACAGGGGGAGGGCAAGAATAGTATGGGAAATGTAGAAGCTAAAGAACTTATAAGTATGACTGACACATGGACATGAACTAAAGGGGGGGAATGTGGGTGAAAGAGGGTGTGCAGGGTGGAGGAGAATGAATGGAGGTAATGGGACAACTGTAATAGCATAATCAATAAACTATATTTTTAAAAAAGAACAACTATAGATCCTAAGATAGATCAAATATATGTAAGCCTTCCAAGTTATTGAGTTTGAAAGGACAAGAGAATCAAAACCAGCCAAAAAGAGTTTTATGAAATGTAATGGCCCATGCCTGGACCCTTAGTAGTTCGTAACACTAGAGCACAGTAGACTCAACTGGAGATTTGCTTTAAATTTAAACTCTCCTTAAAGTTTAAATTTAACCTTTTATTTTGCAATATTTGTAGATTCATATACCATTGTAAGAAACAATAGAGTTAAGCTGAATCCTTTAACTAGTTTCTGCCACTGGGAACATCTTGTAAAACTACAGTACACATTTCCCAGGCAGGATGTGACATTGGCTAGAGACCTTTTATCAATGTCAGATGTCACCTTCAAGATTGTGAATTGATTGTTTATAAATGAGCTATGTTTTATCTGATCAACCAGCTCTGGAACCCAGACTAGAGGATAGGATGTGAATAGCAGAAACAGGAGACACCTTATTGTGTTAATTATTTTTGACATACACATGTATCCAATCATCACGTTGTCCACCTTAAATTTACATAATGTTTTATGTCAATTATATCTCGATAAAACTGGGAAAAAATAAAGAAGGCTCATGGGAGTGAGGGTGAGGCCACATGGGGCAATGCCTGAAATTACATGTCTCCCTAACTAACTAATCTTCATAGTCCAATTTCTGAAAAGACTTTGGCAGTTGAAATACCTGAGTCCAAATCCCATTTGCCATTGAGTAACCTTGACACAATATTTAAACTGTCTAATAAGCAAATTCTTTATTTTGAATAGGCAAGCAAAAATCCCGGTCTCTTAGATGCTAGGGATAAAATATTAAGACAGTCTGCATTCAGGTTGGGTGTTAGACTTACATTTGCCATCATAATCTAACCTGCCTTTCAGAGCAATGGAAAAAGCTAGGATTCAGGTAGGGAACTTTGAGTGTAGCACTATTCAATTCCAATTTAGCAGAAGAACACAAAATCTGATGAGTGCAGGAATTGCTCCGTTATTATAGTTTCTTACAGTAACTCTTTGCATCATTTACATAGACACCGTGGGAAGCAACTGTGGCAAATCAGTCCTTCTGGTTCAGGACATTTGAGGAAAAAATCAGCTGAAGCCTGGAGTTCAAATTATTGTGAAGCCTTCTATGTCTCATACATTGGACTTCTCCATACATATATATTTATTTATCAGCAGACATCAGGAGCAGGAGAGACTGACTGCCTGTCAATCACAGCAGATTATAAGATTTTGGGGTTTTGTTTTTTTATTAGCTGGTAAAGGGAAAGTTAGATGTATGAATTAAAAGTTTCATGAAGAAAGAAAAAGAATATATTCTTTAATTTGCACCAGAGGTGAGGTAAAGTAAGCAGAAGACTGTGTCTTTAACATAATACCAATACTAAAAGAGATAGAGAGGAAGAGAGAGAGAAAATGGGAAGTAAGAGCAGTGTTCATGCTCCTCTGTGTCGCTGCCCTGTATGTTGTGGGCAAATAAACCCATCACTTTGGGCAATAACAGGAAGGAGCTACCTGAATTGAACCTAAGCATGTAAAACACCAACTCAGACTTGGATGCAACATTTTACCAAGTCACTGAATAATGTGGGTTTTTGGTTTAGTTTGGGGTTTTTTTTGAAACTTCATACTTTGAAAAAAAAAGATTTAAAAAGTCCACATTTCCCAATATTTCAAAGGAGTCTAAAGTCTTCCAGTCTACCTCCTATCTCAGAAGAGAACAAATTTGTTTGGTGTCTTATACTATGCTATAAAGAGGCTCAGGCAATGATCAGTACAAATGTATTCGGGTCAGATGAGTCAAGTTCAAAACAAGAAAACTCTAAAATGCATCCTTTCAAGGAAATAATATAAAAGAATCACTTGACTGAACATGGTATGCCACCATTTTATGTCAAAAATTCTACTTTGTTAAATTATCTTAGAAATAACTTTGATAGTAAGAATTAAGCCAAAACTTTCACAATTGGACTGCTATTACATTTCCCTCTCCTTAGATTTAACTACTTACTTTGTCGTATACTCCAGCTTTTCTCTACACTTTGATCTGAACCATGTGCCCTATTCCATTGTCTGCTTTCCTGCTACCCTTGCTGTGTTGGATCCGTGTATTCCAAATAAAAATTACTATCTAAATTCCCTACTGCTAAACAGAGCTCCCTTGGATATAAAAGTACTTGCTTTCACCACTGACCTCTGTTCAGTATCTCTGATATCATTTTTATTAAACCATTCTTCTTACCAGCTCTGATCTCACCATCATATTGGGTTTTCTTCCTATTCTTGAGACCCATGTTGCTAATCAACATGATAAATATCTTAGTGAGATCTTGCTAATCAGCTAGGTTTTAGACTATGCCAGAGTTAAATCACAATTCAGACAAATACATTAAATTTTTATATTTCAATATCTGTGGATTAATGGTTTTAAAATCTATCTGTGCTCATCCCTATAAGAATCTAATGAAATCAAAATAAAAAGCTTCTGCACAGCTAAAGAAAACAGTATTAAAATAAAAAGAGACCCAACTGTATGGGAAAACATATTTGCCGATGATACCTCAGACAAGGGATTTAATCTCCAAAATATATAAAGAACTTACATGACTCCACTCTAAGAAGACAAGCAACCCAATTAGAAAAATGGGCAAAGGACTTGAACAGACACTTCTCCAAGGAGGACATACAGAGGATCCAGAAACACATGAAAAGATGCTCAATATCACTAGCTATCAGAGAGATGCAAATTAAAACCACAATGAGATACCACTTCATACCAGTCAGAATGGCCATCATAAACAAAGCAACAAACAACACGTGTTGGAGAGGTCGTGGTGAAAAGGGGACCCTAGTGCACTGTTGGTGGGACTGCAGACTGGTACAACTACTATGGAAAACAGTATGGAATTTTCTCAGAAAGCTAAAAATAGATCTGCCTTTTGACCCAGCAATTCCACTCCTGGGACTATATCCTAAAAACACTGAAACGCCAATCCAAAAGAACCTTTGCACCCCAATGTTCATAGCAGCACAATTTACAATAGCCAAGTGTTGGAAGCAACCTAGATGCCCATCAGTAAATGAATGGATCAAAAAACTATGGTACATTTACACAATGGAATTCTATGCAGCAGAAATAAAGAAGGAGCTCCTACCCTTTGCAACAGCATGGATGCAACTGGAAAGTATTATGCTAAGTGAAATAAGCCAGGCAGTGAAAGACAAATACCATATGATCTCACCTTTAACAGGAACCTAAACAACAAAACAAAGAAACTAGCAAAATATAACCAAAGACACTGACACAGGCTGACAGAGTTCAGAGGGGAGAGGAGAGGGAATTTCAGGTGAAAAGGGGAAAGGTTTACAGAAACAAGTATAAAGGACACATGGATAAAAACTAGGGAGGGGGTGGAAATGGGAGGGTGGAGGGGAGGGCTGGGTGGGTGGGTTGGGATGGGAGTAAAAGACAGAAAATTGTACTGCAACAATAATTAAAATAAATTAAAAATACTTTTAAAAAGAATCTAATTAAAGCTTTGGACACCTGTAAGGAAAAAGTACACAGAGAATTTATTTTGCCTATGGTTCCAGAATATTGTGGAGCCAATCAATGCATCCTTTACAAAAATCTTAAATCGGTTTCAAATCAAGTGTCCAGAGACTACTTGGACTGTGGTTTAAACTGTAGTTTGTTACCAGACCTATAGTGTAAGTATTTCTCAAGTGGGGAATGTTTTTTTCACATGCAATTCTGAGGCTTTTATATCTATTAGAGTTTACAAATTGCTACTATAGGTCCTGAAGTATCAGTTGCTTCGAATGGATAGATCACAGATACAAGGTTTGTGGAAGTCTTGAAAATAAACAGTCCCAGAAATCACAAGCAACTGTGGAACTGGCTTTATTCATGGTGAAACAAACTTGAAAATAATGTAGGATCCATCATATCTGTTAGACTCATGCTGACCTCAATAGAACTCCCAGGAAATCCACTGTTTAAAGAGAATTGAAAGCGAATTTTGAGGTTCCAGGCAATTTGGTTGCTGTAAATGCTTAGCATCTTCCTTTATGATCCAGAGTCAGGTTTCCATCCCTCGACCTCGAAAAAAGTTATTAAGAGAAATCAAGGACCAAGTGATTTTGGCACTACCATAGAGAGAAAATGTGATTATTTGAAAATCATGTGGGATAAAGCAGGCTGGGGCTCTGGATTTCTTGTTTAATATTGACTGTTCTGAGAATTTGTGAACTTTGTGCCAGCCCTTTTGCATCCCTGGACCAGGTGCCTTATCTATAAAAGTGGAGAAGGGGTACTTAACTTTCCTTTCAACTCTAACTTTTATGACTAGGGCACACTTGCCTTTAACATTTATTTATTTCTGTAATAACTACTTACCAAGCACTTGATAAACTATGGAACTATCAAAAACACAGAAGGTATGATTTTACCTTATTTCTGCCTTCACAGATAAACACAGAAAATACATGTTCATTTGTTTTGAAAGCTGAGATATCTAACTCTTTCTTAGCTACATATTCTAATTTTAAACAGCCTTATAATCATCTTATTTTTTATAGGTAAATAAAGTGTTATTCTTAAAGGTTGGCATGGCTTACCTAAACTGACCTTTAATTTTGTTCTTTCAATTTAAAATATACCTTAGTAGTTTACAATTAGGGATCCTTGGGACTCAAAGTCCCCTTTATCCTCCAATAGATTTTATTTGTTTGCTGTTTTTTTTTAATTGCAAAAAAATGAAAGCTCCATGGAAGCAGGGAATTCTGTGTATTTTGCTCATTATCTTATCTCTAGTGCTTAGAGCAATTCCTGGTACATAGTGGGTATTTAATGAATATTTGCTAAATGAATGAATCAATAATAAATATGAGAAGCTGAATATAAACATACCCTTAGGACAAACACCCAGGGCACTATTGGGAGGAAATTACAAAGGCACAGAGAAAAAATGTTCTCTATTTCTTTTGGTTAGAATAGTACTTTCTGATCCAAAGAAACATTAAGTCCTCTTACCTTTTGGCTTCATTAAGCAGACAGTGGTTACCATAGGTTTTCCCATCAGAACCACAGACTGGGTTGAAGATAGAGCTACATTTTGTCTTTCCAATTGGGTTCTTGCTGCTGGTGGTGCCAGTCTGCAGTAACATGAAAGACCATTGGATAAATATGGGGGGCTCAATTTAATTCTGATATCGTAAGAAAAGAAACATTTGTTGCTCATTAACTGTTGATTAAGCATTATTCTAAACCAATCATTTTGTTGATCCTTTGTATTTTCACTTAATCCATGCAACAATATAAGAGTATAAATCTGCCCCATTATGTAGTCACAGGTATACAGTGTATTTAAATGATAAATTCAAGACCATATGTGGATTAAATACCTAAGCTGGGATTCAAACCCTGAGTTATCTGACTCCAGAGCCCCTGCTTTATTACATGTTAGAATGCCTTTACTTTAACTTTCTAGACAAGCCTTCTCCTACCTGAGAAATGATAATTAGGGAAAAATAATACTGGCAAATAAAAAACACATATGGCCATACTTATTGTACCTTCCTTCTTTCTTGTTTCATGAAAGAAAATGAGACAGGGGGTAGACTTATGCAGAGTCAGTTAAGTAGTACCTGAAGGATATCCTCAGGATCAAGTTCTAGAATGACAGCCGCCTTTGAACAGAAAGAAGCTTTGACTAGCAGATGGGAACAGAAACACTAAATGCCCTGGGGAAGACCTGCAACAGGAAGGTTAGTCTTCTTAGAGCCAAGGAAGAGGAACAAATACCTTGGTATTTTCCATTGGTTTAGAGTTGACCATCTTCATCCATTACTTTTATTTCCACATACTCTATTAAGTGACCATCTAAACACTCAGAGACCTTCCAGTGGTGGCATTAACGTCTGAATGGCAGGAATGTCTGTGAGAGATAGTTACTTCACGCCAGCCAAGACATAAAGACCAAGAGGGACAGGCAGCTTTCATTTCAAATGGAATTGAAGAATGATCAGTTATGAGATAAAAACGAAGTTTTGTTAAGATAATGAAATGGAGGTAGTGTTCTAGAAAACTCCTTTGGGTGTATTAAGTGAAGTGTTCAGAGTCACTGTTAAATGGCATTAGGAGGCTGGCAGATGAGAGAGAGACTGGCTGTGAAGGCAGAGCACAGTAGAACTCAGAAGGCAGTACAGGTGTCATGGAGGTGCACCTGTTTGCATGATGGCTCCCAAACACCAGGCATTCATCTGCTTATCTGACAAGTAGTTCAAGAGAACCCATCCTATGCCTATGTTCTTCTAGCATTTGGAGATACAAGTTTGGAAAGAAATAGTACTTTTTAAAAGAGTTTATGCTAACTGAGCAGGCAGTCAATTACCAAACAATAAGGTACACACCAACCATGATAAAGGATATCATTAGTAATAGGAATACATTTGTAGAAAATCAAAGGATTCTATACAATGTATACAATAAGTGAGCAAGAGTGGCATGATATGTCTGATCATGTCCAGTTATGAACGAGGCATTCAGTCTTGAAAACTCTTAAATGCCATGCTCAGGGGGTTGGAATTTACCTTCTAGGTAGTGTGGCACCACTGAAGAAGTTTCAGCAGAAGAGTGATACATCAGATCAGATTTGTGATTTAGAAGTACCACCAGAGTGCTTTGTAGATTATGAATGGGATGTAAATGAGCATGAAATGTTAAATGTGGTAGAAATGAGGCTCAATTAATAAGGGTTTGAGCTAGTCCAGTATAGGTAGAAAGGCTTGAGTGGAAAGAGTAGGAGGACATGAGAGATGTAATGGAAGACCAGGACACTCACTAATTAATGATCGTAGATGTATACAAAAATAACCATCTCCAAAATCCCTCTCCTTTTGTCGAATCAGGGTCATTGCAAAGTGCTTGTCATTAGTACAGTGTATTCTGTTAACCACTTCAAAACTGGGAAAATAGAATGGCTGAGATAAGATGACTGAAGAAAGTGAAGAAATTAACACAAACCTGACTTTCCATATTGCCATCCAAAGGGTTGCCTACATTTTTTCTTTCTTCTTGATTGTAAAAAGACCTTGGTTTTCTTTGTTGGCTAGACGATCCTGGGCTCCCTTGCTGGCTCAATGACCCTAAAGCCCCTTGCTGGCCAGAAGAGTCTGACTTTTCTTGCTGGCTAGAAGATCCTGGTTTTCCTTGCTGGCTAGCTGACCCTGAACCTCCTTGCTGGCTTGAAGATGCTGGCTTCCCTTGCTGGCTAGAAGATCCTGGTTTTCCTTGCTGGCTAGCTGACCCTGAACCTCCTTGCTGGCTTGAAGATGCTGGCTTCCCTTTCTGGCTAGAAGATCCTGGTTTTCCTTGCTGGCTAGCTGACCCTGAGTCTCCTTGCTGGCTTGAAGATGCTGGCTTCCCTTTCTGGCTAGAAGATCCTGGTTTTCCTTGCTGGCTAGCTGACCCTGCTGGCTTGAAGATGCTGGCTCCCCTTGCTGGCTAGAAGATCCTGGTTTTCCTTGCTGGCTAGCTGACCCTGAACCTCCTTGCTGGCTAGAAGATCCTGGTTTTCCTTGCTGGCTAGTTGACCTTGAACCTCCTTGCTGGCTAGAAGATCCTTGTTTTCCCTGCTGGCTAGCTGACCCTGAACCTCCTTGCTGACTTAAAGATGCCAGCTTCCCTTGCTGGCTAGAAGATCCTGGTTTTCCCTGCTGGCTAGCTGACCCTGAACCTCCTTGCTGACTTAAAGATGCCAGCTTCCCTTGCTGGCTAGAAGATCCTGGTTTTCCCTGCTGGCTAGCTGACCCTGGCTTTCGTTGCTGGCTGGAAGATCCCAGTTTTCTTCGCTGGCTAAATAACCTTAAACCCCCTTGCTGGTTGGAAGATGCCAGCTTCCCTTGCTGGCTAAAAGATCCTGGTTTTCCTTGCTGGCTAGATGACCTGGAAACTCCTTGCTGGGTAGCAGACCCTGACTTTAGTTGTTGGCCAGAAGATTCTGACTTTTCTTGTTGGCTGGAAGATCCCAGTTGTCCTTGCTCATTAGCATTTCCTGAACTACCTTTTTGGTTAGACTCCCCTGAATGCCCTTGCAGACCTCCAGCCTGATTTAAAACTCCTGGCTTCCCTTGCTGATTAAAACTCCCTGGTTTCCCTGGTTGTCCTTGCAGGATAAGAACCCCTGGTTTTCTTTGTGTGTTGCCATCTTCTTGCTTATTAGATTTTTTTTGTCCTCCTTGAGCATTAGCTTCATTTTTTCCCTCTAACATAAATGCAGGTTCTGGAGTCTCTTCTAGTTTAATAACACTTGTCTTCAAAGTCTGGGTTGAAGACACTGGAATGATACCATAAGCACAAAAATAAAAATAAAGTTATTTAACTTCAAGAAGTTAAAATCACCAGCATTCATCCCAAGATATAGTTTGTACTTAATGCTTCTTTGATATTTTTTTTAACCAAAACTCAAGAATGGAATCTTATCATTACATCTCACAACTTGAATATTTTGGTTCCTCTGTTTCTTTCTTGACCATATAACCTGGTTTCCCAAAAGCATGGGGTCAAGACCGCTTGCCCCATTTCTAAATTGGAGTGTGAATTGTCTGAACTAGGCCTTCATACTATTCCAAGCTCCTTTTAATGATTTCCTCATTAATTAAATAGACTCTGATTGATGCCTTTTGAAAACTTCCTCCATATCACAGAACTGTTTCCCATATTCCCAGCATCACCTTACTGAAAATGCCATGAACTTCCTACATGTAAAAGCTCTCAGACATGAGCCCTCCTTTCATATTCTCTCCATCTTCATATTTGCCTTCTGTAGATATAGTCTTTCCCCATGTCCTGTTCTAAAGGCGTGGTTTTCCTTCCTGAGAACATACTTTCCTTTTTAATCAGTCTATGTCCACCACTTCCCATAAAGGCGTTAGTATCAATCAATCATACTCTTCCTCTTGTATTTTTCTCTTCTGATTTTACAAACTCTAAATACATGCTAGACATTGCTATGTATTGTAATGAGGCATTCCTGATTCCTCACTCTTATTTGCCCTCCAAATCTATATAACTACTACATGTGTTATTAATGTACTTTCTTTCAGCAACAAATGCCTGCTGAATACATACTAAATGTTACCTAGCAAGACGCTGGAGTACACTAGAGATATGGTACCTGCCATCATGAAATATACATGTTTTAGTAGGGGACTTTATATGTATGCATTTTTTGCATACAAATATATTTTTACATATATATATTTCTCTTCCCTTCTCCCACTCTGTTTCTTAGCTTTGTATTATTACTTCTTAACTATTATTTTCATAGCTCCCTAAGTAGCATCTCTGTACAACTTTCCTCACATCTAATCCATTTTCAATATCACTACAGACTGATAGTTCTTAATGGAATGGGTTTGATCACCCCTGTACTCAAAACCTGAAAACAACTGCAATGATCAAAGTGAGAAGAGAACCACTACTTCTTGTGCTCCAGCTATAAGCAGCTGAAGGTCATAGGCGCTTTACTTTCATTACTTCCTTTCACGACGTGTAGGAAAAAAATGGTCAAGCAGGAGATCATAATTTGGAGATAAATTGGAATAGGTTTCATTTATCCTAATTCATTGTCTTGAGAATGTAGTATCTGTGCCATTTATAGCTTGAGAAATGTACACTGCTGGATGGACAACCTAACTGTATGAGGTAAGGAATGGAGAGAAGTATGTTGGATGATCAGCACCTAGGAAGAACACAAGTAATGGTGGCTGATGCTAGCATACTCATGATCCCTATAACTACACGTAGGAGTGTATAATTATTTCCATTCTGCAAATGAGAAAAATGAGGCTAAAATAAGTTAAATAAACTACTCCCAAAACATAAGTAGAGCATTGAAAAACCAGGAGTTGAACCATTTTCTATTTGACCATGCAGCGCTGGATCCTCACGCAGAATCATGTCTTTTATGGAACATAACAAATACTCACAAACTCTCATAATCCTTTTAGACTGAATTTTCTTTCCAGCATGAAGTCTTACTTTTCCCACTCACTCGTCTTTGCTTCTCCTCAGGCACACCAAACTATCCACTGTTGTCTCATCTGATCACTATTTTTATGCCCCTGGTCTGTATGTTATCCAAAATTACCTTATTCCATTTCTCTGATAGAAACTCCCATTTAAAAAAATCTCTGACGAAGAATTTCTAGTCACTGAGTATTTCTATTTCTTTACTTCGAGAGCTGGAAGAGCAGTCACTGAATGTAACTTTTCTTACCTGAGAACATGGACAAGAACATGAAGGGAAGGAAAAGGTAGGCCTTCATGTTACAGCCAGTTGTTTCAGACTCCGCTGAGTTGGATGAAGCCAAGGGCCACTCTTCAGCAGAGACTGTCTGAATAAACATGTTGATCCCCACCATGTTATATATTTGAAAATCCTCCACCCTAATTGCTAAACACGGTCATTGTGTTCAAAAAATTACAGAGCAACTTTCGCAAACTGGAAGGTGTTGCGTCTTGAGTGGATTGTCATTTTTAAAATTAGCTTCACGCCCCAACTCCCATTAATATCCAAACTTTAATATGCTTCTATTGGGTATGTTCCTCACAGAAAAAATTTACAATGAAGAAACCCTTCTGGGAAAGTAAATTCAGTGTTCACTTTTTTTATTGCTAAGAGAAGACTTATATTCAGTCAGTGATCTTATTGACCCTATAAGGTTGTATGTCCACAATAGACATTCCCACGACCTTTCCCTGCAAACAAATTATGTGCCAATTACTTACCTCAAATTATATTTTAAAAGCAAGTAAAACCACATTGAGTATTGGACATTTGTAAGTGATGAATACATCCAGTGGGGGATGATGATGGGTAAGGTAGTTTTATGAGGTAACAGGAGACAATAGATTTCATGTGTGAGAATAGCATTACACTCTTGGCCTTCTTGCCTCAAGCTGTTATGCCAAACAGAAGCTCATGTGAAAGTCACCTTGGAATATTTAGTCAGTCATAAACTCAAGGTTATAAAACACTGGAATATTGTGTTCAAGATTGGCTGTCCCATATAAGAAAAACTTGAATTCATTGAAGCATGTCTAGAAGAAAATGACCTTGATAAAGTGAGGTCTAGAGACCATAGAGCAAAAAATTCATTGATGGCAGTGAGAAAAACAAGCTTGAATAAACACAGACTTAACAGTGATATTGACATTGTATTCATCATCTGAAGGGCATTTGTATGGAGAAAGAAGATAGAATTTGATCAGCATAGTACTGGATGACAAAACTCTTCCAGTATAAGTGTAGGATAAACATTTTTGAATTTTAAAGAAAAATTCAGCTTTGGAAAGGGAGATGAACAAGATTATTTTTACAATCCCTTACAATTTTAAGATCCCCAGATTTAGGGTTTGTGGATTGTGTTTCATTTTTATGTTAGCCTATTTAGAAGGGCAATACTTTTAAATGATAAATGATTTCTTTTAAGCAAGCCAACTATTTTAAGGCACCAGTAGAGACAAGGAAAAAAATATATAGTAAGAAAGCAACCTTTTTCCCCTAATAATTATGTTCTATACTTACTAGAATTCATATGAATGTACATATGTATAGATACACATAAATGTATATATTAATATATATCCCATATAATGTACCTCATATAATTTACTCCATATTACATATACATTTACTAAAGGTCACATGATTTTTACCAAAATTTCATTTTGAAAAGTTTCAAAATATAAACAAATTGAAATAATTTTACAGTAAAAACCGATGGGCAGACCACTAGAATTCTTCAACTAATATTTTGATATATTTTCCCGGTTCCATATTTGTCAAAATGGGTAAATATGATACCAGTTAATTTCATATCCAGAAACTCATCTATAGCATTCAATGCAGTGAATTCCTGAATATCAACAAATAGACCACAATAGCTGCATTTGCATTTTTCCAAAACAAATACTTCTTAAACATTTAGCACCATCATCTCTCTTAGCCATGCTTTTTTCTGTGTCCAGTGTCATTATCTTTTGAGGCATAATATTTGTTTCTTATAACAATTATGACTGAGTGCCTTGTACGTGAGGATATTGCAGTGAGAAGATAAAATCTCATGAAGCCCAGAGGCGACCTCAGTGAGTGTTGTTGCATTAAGTAAGGCAATGCACTCTCACTTTGTATGCTTATTTTTCAATCCATTCCAGAAGTCTTTTTTAATAATTGCATTTAATCTTCCAATACTCTGAAAAGGAATATTTAATTTCTCCTTTAATGACAATTCTCCCACCTTTAGAATTGTCTTCCATTATTGTCTTCCTTTACATTTGGGAGTAAGGTCAAAATTCTGCCCTGGAGTAGACTCAGAAAAGGTTCACCCCCACCACTTATTAGAAAAAGGGAGAGACTGTGTCATGTATCCTGGAGTGGGATTCAAGGTCAAGGCTATTTTTTAAAAGATTTTATTTATTTATTTTTAGAGAGGGAAGGGAGGGAGAAAGAGAGAGAGAAATATCAATATGTGGTTGCTTCTCACATGGCCCCAACTGGGGACCTGGCCCACAACAGAGGCATGTGCTCTGACTGGGAACCAAACCAGCAACCCTTTGGTTTGCAGTCCACGCTCAGTTCACTGAGCTACACCAGCCAGGCAGTCAAGGCTATTCTTATAGGAGTCATCGTAGTTGGGTGGAAATAACAACAGCAACGACGTCAGATGACCTGAGATGTTTGGCTCCCCTCTTTTTTTTTATGATCTTATGCTAACTAATCTCTCTCTCTCTCTCCCTCTCCATCTGCCTTTTATTTTTTCCATTTCTCTTTTCTCTTATTTCTAGAATTATGACACTACCCCACTGCAGGAGTCAAAGTTTGCTAAGAGTTTTGTAGTTTGGTGGAAAATTTCATCACTGTAGTTTAACCATCTTGGTTTCTGATGGTGACCTATTTTGTAGTGTCCTGCATCCAGTTACCTGATTCTGTCTCAACAAGCCACTTGTCATGCAGCTAAAGGGCGGGTAGCTTTGAGCTCCTTGTGTGCTTTCTCCTGCTGGATACTCTAGCCACTATATTTCCTTCAATTCCTCCCCAGAGGAGAATAGCACCTGTCAAGTTCTGTTCTTTGAACCTCAGGAGGTGTGTGAAGACTGAGCATAGTAAAAGCTAGAAGACTTCAGTTATATACCATTCATTTAGGCTGGCTATTCAAACTTAAACACTGAAAGATTGAATTGAATCCAGCAGATGAATTGAATGTTTGGTCTGGTCTTCTAAGTTCATATTGCATGGAAGAAAATGTCTTTTAAATTCAGTGTCACGTTGACAGTACCATCAGAGGGAGACTTGTCAGCTGTCAGCAAGTCTCAGTAAATTCTTCACAATTCTATTAAGAATAGGCCCAAGGTCAAGCACTCAGTAATATCTCCCTAACTTAAGGCCTTTTGCCCTTTCCTGGTTGACTGACTTATTTGGTCATTTCACCTCACCTTCACCCCCATGAAGCCATTAATTTCAGAACACGGAGTCCTGCTGGGTGGCAGATGCCTGAGATCGAATCTTGGGTAGCTTCTTTTCTGCTTTGGGCCTACATTTTTTCATTCAGCATGAAAAATTTCAATGCAAACTGAAATTCAAATGTATTTAGTTTCATCATTGTTTATTGAGATAATGTGGGTATCTGACACACCCATTAAAGTGTTCCATTAAGGTTGGCTATTGTTATAATACTTATGTAAGCATATTGGACGAGAAACTTGACCTCTGCCACCTTCACTTCAGTTAAATACACAGGTGGTGACTACAGAACAATACAATACTAAATAGAGCATGATTATAATAGTCATGGGCTAAATTGGCTGTAATAAGCATCTATTGACTTATTCCTGAGACTTTCATCATGTGGAAATCTTTGATGTGCAAGTTTACAAATTCTAAGGGAAAAAATCTGCAGTAGAATCTCTTTCTCAGCCTCATATTAACCTCTTTATCACCACCACCGTAAATAATTGCAGTACCTCTTTTTAAAACTTATCTTCAAACTTATGAGAAAACAAGTTACACAGTTTGGCCCCATGTTGATCTTCAGATTTATTAGTTTTAGCCACTCAAGTCCACACGGGCTGTAAACTGCTTTCTCAAACCTTACTTCCAGTTGCCTTCCCTGTAATATTCATTCATGATCAGTCTTACAATTATAAAGGAAGGAGTATATCTTTAGAATATACAGAAATCAATACCAACAAACCCTCAATCTCTCTTCATGCAATTTATTACTCTTCTACAGAAGAGTCCCTTTCCCCTACCCTTGACTCTGAGCTGGTCATGTGACTTTCTTTGATCAATAGAATGCAGTGGATGTGACAACATTCCATTTTTAGGACTAAACCTTAAAAGTCTGGCAGGGTTGGATGAGAGACTATGGAAAGGGAAGGGGGGAGAGAAAGAGAAATAAACAAAGAGAGAGACAGACAGACAAAAGAGAAACCTCTCTAGCAACTGTAACCGAAACATCAGCAATGAGACCGAAGTCCTGGTAGGTCCTAATAGAGCCACCCAGCCCACGCAACATGAGCAGAGGCAGACCACTTCTGCAGAGCCTGCACACATTGCAGAATTGTGGGTAGATAAATGATTTGTTATGCAACAACAGATTATTGTTGATAGTGATTACTTTTCCACATTCAATTAACACTTCATGATAACTATAATAGCTACCATTTATGGAGGCATTTTAAATGCATTATCTCATTGAATACTTTTAAATAGTCTTTTAAGTATTGTTACCACTACTTTGGTAACAATAAATATTTGACTCTAGCACAAGGTTGTTAAATAACTTATTTTTACAGTTAAACTTAGTAGAGATATTTTGACTTAAGGAACTCCACCCCTGGCTATCTATAAGCATGGGAATACCCTTCCTAGAAATAAAGACTTGGAAAATAAACATTTGGTTAAGAGATCAGCTTATGAATCCCTCAGCTGAAAATCAATTTGTCTTTGGCAGTATAGAACTAAGATTCTAGTGTAAATCAAGGCTGAAAATAGATCTTGGTCCAGCCACATGGAGATGATTTCTGAGACTCCTCTAGTATACACTGGGCCATACCTCACAAGTTAATTTTAAGTTAACAGCCTACATCTCTGATGACAAGGTCAAGTTCTTGCTCAGGAGGGTTATAGGGAACTCTACCAGCCTGTGGCTTAGTGATTTATTTTTTTAGCATAGTCATTTTAAATTTGAGATAGATGATTCCATTAGTCAAATGGAACTAATTTTTTTGTCTGCTCCTTTTTTAATGTTTTGTTGTTTATGCT